CCACGTTATATATATATATATATATACTGTAGTAATAAAAACATAAATTGGACATATAAAAAATCAACTAGAAGAGCGAGAGCCTTCACATTTAAGAAAGACCTAAACGGTAGAGCTTTATAAGCCAGACTAAAATCAACAAAAGACTTCTGTTTCCGTATTACGCTTCAGATCGAGCACATGCAGAGACAAAAAAATGAAAGCCATAAAGTGATTGGTTTTGGGAGAGGGAACTTAGGCCAGTACTACTAAAGAAGAATTTTGCGAATGATGAATACCAAAATACATTTTCAAAAGAGTTCCTCAATGAGCTTTCCAGAAGCTTTGAGAATTATTTGTCGAAGGATTCCAAGACAGTTTTTCGAAATATACTCAAGAGCGAAATACTGGTAGTTAAGAAAAAATTGAGTATTTGGCTTAAATATACGAGAGCTACTTGCAAGGGAACATTTTTCCATTCTCACTGGCACCTACCTTCAGACTATAGGATATAATAATAACAGCGGATGTTAATAAAACCCCAAAGTACAAATGCTAAAAAAATGATAAAACAAAAATATGATACCGGTAGTCATATATTTTCCACGAACTGAACTGATGAAGTCGTGATTGGGCATCAGATATCATTAATACATTCAAATCACTTACATCCTCCACTACTCTCGAACCCATAAAAGGCCCCTCTATCCACCTCTCCCCCCCTAAATCCTATCCCCCTCCCCCAACCCCGCCGGTCTCCCCCCCGTAACCTCACTATGCACCACATACTCCCCACTAAAAATTGGCCAACCCCTGTCTACACACTCGACCTCCGTACTCACTACACTAACCTTCAGACCCTGCACCTCCGCCCTATCAATTTCCGATCCATCTGCCAGCGTTACTCTCCAATGCAGATTTCGCGTTAGGTATGGAAGGACGTGTACTGGTTCCAGAGAGGCGAGAGTGCTGTTTTGATAGAGGGTTAGGAGCATGGGGGTTAGGGGGATGGTGCCGGAGATCATGAGGGAGTTGGTGGCGTCGCGGATGCATTTACCGCAGGAGGTTGTTTGAGGGTTTTTGCCAAAGGAAGAAAAGGTGCCGAGGGTGGAGGGAGCGGTAGCCTAGGGTGGAAGTAAGTGAGTGGATGATTGATGTAAAGGAAGGGATAGAAGATGGATGGAAAGATATTGCATACCCATGTAGCAGGATTGGAATCAAAATCCCCGAGAAAAATTCGCACGCGATACGTTTGCTGGAGAATATGTTTGGGAGCGCGGATATTAGCAATATATTCGCGGTATTTGATTGGTGCTTTAGGACCTGTGTTGGAAGGAGTTTCGGATGCTTGGGAAGATATTAGATGGTTGATGACTTGATGACTTTAGTAAGATAATATGATGGAAAGAACATACGTTTTCCAATCTCGGATTCAAAGTCCTCTCCACCGCGAGTAGTCTCCACAGACTGAGCATGAGACTTGGGTGAAATGTCATGAAGGAGATTTGATAGGGAATTACCGATACTGGAAGATGAGGGATTACTAATACCGAGGGGCTTTTGAGGTCCGTTGCTACCGTCCGCAATAACTTGTTTAGATCGAGGAGTTATTTGCTGAGGTGCAGTTGCATCTGCAGTTTGTACGCCCATCAATTGCATGACTTGATTACTAGTAGCGCCGTATAACGTTTGGACCGCGGCGAGAACACTATTTTGATATTGTTGAAGAGTGGGATATTTCCATTGTTGAGTCTCGGGATATGCGTAGTTGAAGGTTGCCGTGTTGCGGACGGCATCGGAAGTCCAGTAGGTTTTGCCGGTGGCGTTGTTGAATGGTGTTAAGGGGGTGGTGCTTGTTTCTTGGGTGCCGCTTTCGATGGAGAAGGTTCCATCGCCGGATGGTTTGTTGATTGCATAGCTATTGGGGTTTAGTGCTTGCCAGATGGCAAATTGTCGATCGACATTTCTGGCGGATGTTAGCGTCATACATCTCAAGGTAATATCGGAATTTGGCATCAGAAAAGAAAGTGTGACTTACGTATGGTGCAACCAAAACAATGGATCGAATGCTGCGTAATCAGGATCAGCCATCTGGCCATTCCCACCAGTTTCACTATGAATACTATTATGCACATCCTCGATACTACCATATGTTTCAGGAGCATTATTGGGAGCCCATTGATGATTGCTGAAAGCATCAAACTGCTTGTAGTTGGGATCTTTCATGATGAGATAAACATTGCTTTGATATGACTGAAATTGTGACTCCATAGCGTCAAATACTTGCTGTTCTTGGGATTTGGCGATTGCACTTCCGTTGGTTGGGTATCGAAGAGTGCTGGGCCATCGAGATTCCTGATATTGTCAATACGGTTTGTATTTTTTGGAGGGGACAATCATACCGGAATGCTGGGAAAGTCATTCTTCAAAGGATTTAAGGGATTGAATTTATAGGAGTAGAGAGGGTTGGTGATTTGAACTGGTTTGTTATTCGAGGTTGGGGTGATGACTTGAATCGATGGTTGTCCGACGACAGTAGGAAAGTATTTATCGCCGGCGGGTGGTGAGGCAGCCCAGTCCCAGTATGGCATACGGAACGTTAAAGCAGCTTGTTGATAACGAGTCTTAGAGGCAGTGGGGAATGTAGCGGCGATCTTTTGAATGATTTGATACAAGTATTGCTGTTAATATGTGAGTAATGTGTCAAACAGCACAGGAAGGTATGCACTTACCTCAAATAATGCGAGGTATGGACGATGCCATGGAGCAAAGAGAATAGAACTGTGAGTACAATAGCCTTGCCAGCCGACCGGGTTATCTCCTTGAACTCCACCCCAAGGACGGTATGGACGTCCATGAATACCTTAACATGTCAAAAGGGTATCGAATGTATAGTAGAGTAAGGTCCGTGAAACATACCAGCAATTCCATACCAAGATAGATCTGACTTCTCATCAAGTTGCTGAAAAGCTTGAAGACCAAGTATGTAAAGTGTCCATTGATCAGGAAAGTTATGTTGAAGATCTCGAATCTCGCGTCTTAGGGGGACAGATCCTGAAAGTCTTAGCAGAATGAAAAGTAGCCAGAGGGACTTCAGCCTTACCGTCGGCAGGAGCTGGCGAAGCCTTTGGGGGCCCTGTGATAGGATAATTGAGTGCCGGAATTGCAGCCATAGCATAAGTACTAGCTGACCTAGCGTTGGGATATATTTGCGCAAGTGATTGGTTGCAAAAAGGTGAGATAGATTGAAAAGATTTGAGTTAGCAAAGAAAACAATGAGAGGTTATAAAGCATATAAATATGTGTCGACGGGAGCCTGCCAAGCCTCAAGTCAATCTATCACGAGAATTCAGCTGAAAAGGGCGGCCTATATCACGAATCACTAATGTATAAATGAGGACATATGCACATTACAGTGTAACGACGTAAAGCCCAAGTCGTGACTTTCGCATGGATATCCAGTACATTTTGTGTTATGGAAAGTGGCTTGATGACGGTGAGAAAACATCATGACTCCACATCCTTTTCACTGGTTGTGTTGATGCTCTAATCTCGGCGAAGTCGAAGCCATAAGCACTTGTAAGATGTTTGGGCAGAAAAATTGATACAAGTTACACAGTCGATAGTGGCACAAGTGCGGCCCCTGCATATACCCCGCACTGGGGAACCTCAGCTGCATTCCGCCCAGTCACTGAGGATATTATATGAGGTTGAAACAAGTGCTAGTAAAATCTGCGTATAATTCAACATCATTCAAGAAGCTCACGTTAAAAGATGCTGTCACTGCTTAACACGAAGTGGGGGTGTAGGGAGTATGAATGTCCTCATAAGCTTTGTCCAAGCAATGGAGTGAGGGGAAATAAGCGAAATGCAATGGATGTGTGAGTACACAAATTAGATGAAGCATCTGGATATGGGGAAAGCTTTAGTGTTCAGATTCAAGACCCCACTTTGAGGCTATGGGCGTGGTCGATACATGAGAGCTGTGACGCAGCCAAGAAATGACAAGCAACAGCCCACTACACGTAAGACAGAAAGAAAGCTTGAGCAAGGGGGTAAATTGTGTACAAATTAAATGTATTCCATTTTATGTGTAACGAAGATATCAAAGAGAAATTACAAAGGAAAAGAAATCTATCCGCACCCCAGAATCACCCCACAATTAAAGTAACATCATACCACCAACCATACTGGCAAGGGTCACTGCAACAACTCCAAACGCTCTCATGTCAACTTCGGCAACTCTACCACCTGCGGCGCTCGATTTAGAAGAAGATGTGGAGCCCGAAGATCCTGCGGAAGCGGTGAATGTAACAGCTCCCGAACCGGCGGTAGCAGTCCCTTGCGATTCGTTATCACTATCACCAGCCTCTTGAGAACCAGCACCATCCAATCCAGGTCCAGTACCCGCACCTGCAGTCATGAATTTCTGAGCTGGGGTAGGGATAGCTGGGAGAGCATCACCGGAGATTTCCCAGTCGGAACTTTCAGTTGGGCAAGTACTCGCAGGTCTAGTAGTAGTAATGGCTCCTCCATCACCAGTTGGTAAAGTAGTGTTTGCGTAGGCTGCTTTGAGATATGTGAATTGGTCACCGGTAGTAATTTCTCCATCGGTGATATTCACGAGACCGTATCCGTTACCCTCGTTGGAATATTCATACACAAGACCTCCAGAGAAGACAGCAGCCATCTCAGTGCTGTAGAGGGCAGCGATTTCGGTGAACTTTCTGGTGTTGGTAATACAGCCGAATTCGGACATGCTTTAGGGTTTGTCAGATATCGTGAAAAATTGAGATGTGAATGTGACCTCAAAGGAGTAGACTTACAAGAGAGGAATGCTGTAATTAGCGTAATTTGAGATAAGAGTGTCCCAGCCTGATGTGGTCATGGAAGAAGGATCACACCACGAATAATCATTGATGGCGTAGAAATCGGATCGTTCATCGTCGGTTCCGCAATTCAAGTACTCAGCAAGAATAAATTGATTGGAGGCAACGTCAGCAGCGGAGTATCCAACGGGAATGGATCGGTAACCACGGCTACCAATGTATTCCTTCATGTCTCGAACGATAGCCTTAACATACGGAGCACAATCGGTATTGTTTACTTGGTTGATGACTTCATTACCAGAGAGAAAAGCAAGAGTATTGCTGTAATTGGCAAACTTGTCAATAGTGGCAAAGATTGATTGAAGGTAGACGCTGTTGTATGATTTTTTGGGTTCGTCTCTGTTGAGTGAATAAAGAGGAGTATCGGTATCAAGGACAAGGTAAATACCGGCATCGGCGAGATAACCCATGCACTCGTCGTGATCCGCAGTGTTGTCGACAGCGTAGACTCTGATAGTGTTGATTCCTAGTTCTTTGAAATATTCGACATCTCGCTTGCATGCAGTTGCATTAGCAATGGGATCGCCGGGAGTACCAATTCCTCCACCTGTCAAAGAGGATTAGCTATGAAGTTGTTACCGTGAAGTTCATTGGTATTACCTGGTTGATAGTCGACACCACGAATGTAGAAACGATCGCTACCCTTGTAGAAAGCTGGACAAAGTCAGCATCAAAGACAATCAAGTAGTGTTGGCGAGCATACCATTTCCTGAAATCGTAACGGCCTCAACACTCGAAGTAGATGAAGCTCTTGCTGCCAATACTGGAGTACCAGCAGCTGCAGTCATGCCAAAGGAGGCAACCGAGGCAATAAGCCCGAATAATGTACTTTGCTTCATTTTTGTAAGAATTCAATGCGATAGGCAGAGAAATCGTAAAATAGGAGAACTACGATGCGATGACAAGTTCTGTAATTTCTGTAATTGCTGATAAGAAAAATAAATATGTGATGACTGTAATGAGTGTGGTTGATGTAAAAATATTCGGATTCAGCCTTACAGACGCCAAGAAATCGGATCTATCAGTAACGAATGTGGTGCTGGTAGAAAAGGGCGAGAATAAAGACTCAACAAGGGAAGAAAGAGGATAGAAGATTGGAACAAGTAAAGAGGAGAGCATTAATAAAAATATCGTGATTTGAAATGGCGTGGCAAGTCAAACTTATGCTGTCTGAACTGTTAGTCTCCACATAAAGAAAGATTTCTTATGCTCCAACCAACAGACCGTCATATCATTACGCGTCTCATCCCTCGTGGTCCCGAAGCGGCCGAACCGGTACATCGTATCCGTTTTAAGTTGCCTGTCCCATATGATACCATAAATAGACAACGGCTAGTTGACCCACTATAACTCATGAGGCTGTTCAAGCACATATTCCCTCAAGTCCTTTCGGGGATCATACACGAGAAACTAATTTTCAAGAGATGAAGATGTTCGGTTCATCATCAATCTTGAACCCGTTTAACATCGCACTCAGGTTTCATCGACAGCGTTTCATACCAATTCTCAAGGCTTCATTCAACACACACTGATCAAGACAAACTCGAATACTGTACATTTGGAGAAAATTGGTTCAATTCGGGAATATCTTTTCTTCAGGAAGCAACACCAGGCGCTGACAGAAGATAAATGATGCTAGGTACTTAAATGTATGATGGTTGACTTATTTTAGTCTAATACTTTCACCTCTTAAGTCCTAGAAAGGAGAGAGAGAAATGATTGTGGGTGTCAAATCACCGATCATGGAACCAGTCAAGCCAGTAAAGTGAAACGAAGAGATCGTGATACGAAGCAGTCTTTGGCTCGTAATATGGGGAACGTTTCCACGTAATGAATGATCGTCATCGTTAAATTTCCAATTCGAGGGTGGGGAATAACATAATCGACAATACAAAACACTCAAAATGGCTTGGTACTATGGATCTAACCGCGGCAAGGGCAAATCTGATGCATTGTCGGGGTTTTTCTTAGGGAAATCCCTGATTTCTGACACTGCCCCACGGATAATTGTACGAAACCCCCGAGAAAACCTAAAGATTCAGATTTGGCTTTCTAGTTGACCCTTTGAACCTGGAGCATTGAACTTTGATGGTTATCTCTTCCCGAGTCCTGATATAACAACGATTGATATATTTGCCAAATCCATTATCTAAGCTGGAAGTCTGTTGGACTGCGAGAAACATAGAATAAAGATAATAAAAAAAACTCGTATAGAAATATACCTCCATGGCATGGTACTGAAATTAGACGTGTACCAGTATCTTGTTTGGTCTAGACAGCTCACCAAATCACACAAGAAAAAGGAGAACTTGGGAGTGGATGATTAAGCCAACGCGTATCAAGGAAGCTTGCGATCGACTTCCATGTGCATGATAATTTGGCTCAATCAATTGCTTACAATCCACTGAGATTGAATTGAAGAATGAGCTCGAATTGCGGTCAAGAATCATATAGAATTCCTGCAAGCTTAGCCAACTACTTAGTGACATGTCCTGCACTCATGGACTCAAGTACACTGCCATCTCCCGTCTAAGATTGTCATCAAAAGCTCGTATTCCTTCGACCAAGGTTAATAGAGGATTGAGATAGCGGTAATGGTCAAGGCCGAGGGATTGGTTGTAATTCGTTTGACAGTCGGGAGATGGGATAATCTGCATAGGCAGAGAAGGTTGGAAGACATCTTGCCACAAGTTTGGAACATCGTCTCTTTCGCTGATTGTGAAATGGATTGTCGTCGAGAAGAGTATGAATATAGGTAACCGATACTCTTTCATCCACCTCTTCATTCGTTGCTACTGGGCGCCATGTACTGGAATCCCTCAAGCTCAGCGTTTGCCCGTACCCATTTAACCTTAGCCATAAGGAAAGGCGCATTTGTTGAGTATTGAAAATGGGAACAACAATGGAGGGGGCGTTTTGAATCTTTCAATATACAATTACCAAATCTATGTATTCAGGAAAGGTACAATAAATCAACAGAGAAGAGAAAGGTTTGACGCGTTGGAAATTATTTTATTTCCCGTTAAGCTGCCAAGCTGCCAAGCATTTTCATCCCGCTGGGTATAGTCTGAAGATCATGTGATCGCGATTTTCTGCTGGCCAACTTTATACAGCAACTCGAGTACAGTTACAGCCCAATTTGGTTTGTTTACTCCAAGCGAATCCCTCCACGAATTCAATACAATGCAGACCGCTTTTATATTTTCGATACTGAAATGATATCTTACGATAACATGTTGTTATCATATCAATTTTGCGGGGGATCAAGAAAATGTCCGTCTCAACCTTTAATCCTCTTGGAAGGTCCCGTAGTCTTCGCAGTTCTACAGCCTCAAGCAACCTCAGACTCGCCTCAAGCTCCAGCGCATCACCTCCCTCTGGCCCCTCTTACGTTGCTCTGTTCATAACCAATCTACGGCTCTTGGATTTAGATTTGCGAGATGACTGGCCAGATATTACCGTGGTGACATTCTCCACCAAGGATGCGCAGCAGAATCAGAAGAAACGTATACAATGTGTAGAATGGGCTTTATTCCAGCTATTTGCTTTCTGGGATCCAGCAGAGACTCGAAATGTACACTTCTACCAGATGCCACCACATAAGATTATGATAAGAAAGCTAATACATATTTGTAGAAACTGCAAGCATTCTTCCCACCCCTTGAACCTCTCCAGTCCCTCAATTTACGTACCGCATTGTTTCGATTACTTGACCAGGCCAAGAAGAAGGGATTCCTTGGGAGAGATACAGTGTTGAGAAAGACAATGCTCGATGAATGCAAGGGTGAAAGACTAGAGGAGGTTTTGGCGGTGTTTTCCAATGTGGTTCTAAAAAAGGCGGTCCAGAATGATACCTCGGGACGCTACGAAGCTCTTGCGCAAGAACTGGCATTGGAGAATTTCTCATATTCAGGAGAAGTAACAATACTCTCGGCCTTGATATTAGCACACAAGGCATCTCTGGGTAAACATCTTATCGAGAAGAACAATTTGAGGGCTAAATACAACAATTTTTCCCAACTGCTGGACCTCAACGATCAACGAAATTCAAAAAGACGCGAAGAATTGAATCAAGCTATAAATTCAGGGGAGGGTCATGCTGAATTATCCGAGAGAGATTTGAGATCTTTGCAAAATAAAGTGCGCAAAAATTGGTCAGGTAGCAATGAGTGGCTGGAAACGATCCTTTATGGGGACAGTAGGCCTGGTCGAGCGGGAATACTGGCCAAACGCTTTGATATTCTCTGGGACCAAATTGAGGATGGTACTGTTGTAGACATAGAGGGAAAGAATGATACTGGACTGATTAAGCGATTGGAGGCACGAGTGCAAGATCAGGATAGTCGTTTGGCTAGATGGCAAGAATTTGGACAGACTTTGACTCGAAACGGCACCAAATCACCCACCAAAAAGGCCCAGGCGGTTTTCGTTAAGGAGAAGGGTATAAAACTCGGTTTCAGTGACCACCAAGCATTACAGATCGGAAAGTATACTGCAGAGAGCTCTAAAGCCGTGGATAGTTCCGTTCGAGATGAATATGCTCGCCTATTGGAGAGAACTTACGATGCATTGAATAATGTATCCAAGCCAAATGTACTTTCCAAAGAAGCTCTCATTCCACGTGGCTCGAGACATAAGCTCAATCAACCTCCAAACGATTTGACTGAAGAGTCATGGTCATCAACTAATCAAGAAGGGGACCTGTTTCCATTACCCAGCGCCTCTCCCGGCCATTCATCTACCTCAGCGTCAAATCTCGATGGAGTAGCCGAGTTTTCAGCCCATCGTGGTCATGATCATGAATCAATTAGCACACCACCTTCAAGGATATCCCGCAAACCAATCCCTGTTGCGATTTCATCAGTCCTTCAACCTAAGCAGGCCTCAGATGAAGTCGACATTCCCAAGGAAAGATTCTCCGAGGCCGCAACCGTGACATTGGGTACCAAAAATGCTCATATATCAGCCTCCCTAAGCGCTATGAGATCATCCCGTCGCCTAGTTTCCATTGATAAAGCTCCAGACCAGGAATATGCCACGGCCTCAGTTGAGACACCCGTATCTATCAAAAGGAGAAATACAATAACATCAAACTCGAGTCCATCTCCTCAGCTTATCCAAACCTCTGAGCCGTCCCTCGGTTCTGTTTCAGAGCTCAGCCAAGCAGAACAGATTCTAAACTTCATGTCAGCTGCATCCCCATCACCACAAAAGATACAGCGCTCTTTATCCTTAGCAGAACGTACGCGTCTTACTATGGCTCGCTCAAATACCAGACATCTAAAATACAATCTCAACGATGAATTCGATGACTTGCCAGATGTGAGTCGTCTCACTTTGAACCCCAAGCTTAAGGTCACACCCGCCAAAATCTCAACTGCAGAGGAAGAGAAGCACGCAGACTTAATAGAACGCACGCGCAAGTCAATGGCAGGATTTGAGGCAGCCCAAAAGAAAGCACAATTAGAGCGAAGGCAAAGCATTAAAGATGAAAAGAGAAAGCAGCGACAATCACACTTTCCCAAGGTTGTCCAAGAGGAAGAGGAACCACTACCTCAAGCTACGCCAACGATTGATAGAGATGTTTTGATGGATGGGGATGTCGATTATGCGAGCGTGTTTATGAGTAGACCAAGGATTGCTCTGAGTCCGACCCCAGCAAAGGATAGGATGATTTCGTCTATAATTGAGAGTGGGGATGAGTTAGAGGAGGGAGAGGAGGGAGAAGAAGATATAGATGAGGATATGACTATGGATGTGGATGTGGATGTGGATTATGCAAATGCTTTTATGAGTAGACCAAGAATCGCTTTGAGCCCGACACCGGAGAGGCATGTGAGAAGTATGATGAATAGTGAAGCGGAGAGGGGAGGGGGAGGGGGAGCAGGAGCTGTGAATATGTGGCATGACTGATGAGCTGTACCGAAGCAGCAACGAACGGTGTTTATGAAGTCTAGTAGTAAATGGCGTCTGGGCACTCTAATGGCTTATGATTAATGAGCAATGCATATTTTTTCAATCGATGATTTCAAGTTAACCTAACCTTCATGTTCCATTTCAAATATTTCACAAGTACTGTAAGGCTTTTGAATTCATGTGATTCACGTAGCATGGAGTTAATGAATACAAAATCGATGATCTCTTGAGTGTACGAATACATAATATCATATAGGAAAAGCTTTCGTACTCGAATATTGTAATTTTCGCTCTTTCCTTACACTTTTTTTTTCTTCAGTAACGAATATCTATCTATCCGAGTCTCATCAAAATTATCATTGTAACGGTAGTTTATACCCTCTGCTCAGATGTCCTCCAAATAATGGGCACCGCAGACTTGGTCTGAATGTGTCACGTAGATCTTGTCACGCTAATACAATTGAAAACCAGTTTGCATTCCACAATCAGCGCTAGACGGCACTCAGGTCTGATAATCTATATATGGTAGGTGATCTGGTGAGCTGCGCTTATTCTTGCTGCTACCCTTTTCCGAAGCATGGAATACATCTAGTATTGCCAGTGAGGAGAGAAAATTGCAGGAATGACTAGTCTTCCTGCAGCCGGTTTTGAGGTATCTCGCTTATACTGAGTAGGTTGACGAGAAGAGTCGTTTTACATCCAGTTTATGGCTAATTTCCAACAAGAGAACTTGTTGCTCGAGATTTTTGTTATTGGCTAGATGATCTCATGTCAAGAATGATGATCGACAATGGGAGAGCCGACTGGGGAGTTCGATTTTATTCTCTGAAACTTGGTCGCTGTGATGGGATAGAGCTAGTTAATGCGAATGTGTGATTATTGATGATGATTGGGGATGGGATTGCTGAGGAAGGTTTCTTTTGGTGTGAGTTGAGGCTTGGATAATGATAATCAGGGTTATAGTTGATAAATGGACAACAATGTGAGCAGAGTAGACGATCAGTCAGTTACACTTGATTTGATAACGTGTGTCCAAAAAAAAGGTTGCGATTTTGACCTCTGATGATTTTATTTTGTGAGTAGAGTATCTACCAATCAGATTGTTCTCTTATTGATTTGCTAACGATAATTTAGAATTCCAGTTTGCTGGCTTACACTAGTAGCTAGCTGACTGGTTGGTCACGTTGAATGTGAAAATGACTTTACACGTGCATTTTCGCAAAGCTTATAAGCGCTATCGCAAGCTTTGTAGACTTTATCTTGTGATTAAGAGTCAAACATAAGCAAGCGATGGGTGTTGAGGCACAAACATGGTGGTAGGAGTATAAGTTGTGGTCGATGTCCCTGCAATTGTGGAAAAGGCAACGAGATCCTGACTGGCAGAAATCCTCCTACATTGATATCAAGAGCATTGACTAGTTGTTTTTCAACACTCTTTACTACAAGCAATTACATCCATTCTAATTTGCAAGAATTAGTTCGCAACATGGCGCCTCCTAAGGGTTGCTCCAATTGTGGCAGCGCACAGAATCACAAAATCTCCGTCTGCAAAAATCCCTACCCGCCGTACGATCGACAAGTATGCGATGAATGCCTAGAGTATGGCCATGAATTTCAGAACTCTCCCAGTAGAATGGGAGAGCCGTGGAAGAGCTGCGGACATGCACCATGTAAGAAGAAGAATTGTCAAGTTCTTGGTGATAAGAAGTATTCGGAGATAAGTCAAGATATTGCGGATCAATTCACTCCGATTGCTAGGGAGGCATGGTTAAGAAAACGTGAGGAAGCGTCGACTGCTCCTACAGTAGGAGAATCTAGCGCAAGTTCAACTACTCCCGCTCCTATCGCAACGTCCGGGACTTCGAGTAGCACTGCTGGACCATCACAACTTCCAGCCGCAGCTGAAGTTGACGACAGAACCGAGGAAGAGCGACTTCAGCAGTTATATGATGGAGAAGCCAAGAATATGCCCCGGGCAGTCCCGAGCCAAAATTGGGATTCGCCTACCATGATCCACGCCAACTTTTACAAGATAACTATTGGTGGCACAGCACAAATCTGCAAGTACTCGATCTGTCTTGACACAATCATTCCTCGAGGAAAGACGGAAGCTGAAGCGATAGTACCTTCACGCCCAGAAACTAAGCGCTACCTAATCAATTAGCTTCTAGAGGCGAATAAGGGCAGTTTTAAGACGATCAGCTGGGCGACCGATTATAAATCGTTGGTCGTCACCAACAAACCGCTCAAAGGGCATAACTTGAACGCAATTGATCATTTGATTCCAACACCTCATACACGGAGCGGATCCGATGGCAACCCAATCAACATGAGCTCTTCCTTGAAATATCTAGGATTGGTCAACACCCAAGCTCTCAAGGACCATGTTACTTCCAACGGTCCACATCTCGATCATCCTGAAGAGGAACTGAAGTTTTTGAACATCATCTCTTGGAAGAAGATCAATTCCCCCGGCTATGCAGGCGGTCGTGTGGGAAAGAAATTCTACCCACAAAGTTTTGTTGCCGATATCGAAAGAATGATGTCGTATAAACGAGGTAAACGCGCGTCGGGATTTAGAGACAGCGACGTACCTTTATACCAGATACGCCGTGGCTTTTTCAGTTCAATAAGGCCCGGTAAAGGTTCAATCTTGCTCAACATCAATTTGGCAACATCTGCGTTCTTTTCACCTATCAATCTTGCTCGGTGGATAAAGTCAAACGAGGCCGCTGAAAGTGATTTCAGAAGAGCTCTGAAGGGGGTGCATGTGATTTTTGACCTTCACAGCGAGGGAAGGCAAAAGTTCTTTACTATTCGAAGCATCAATTCACTTTCCGTTTCAGGGACTAAGTTCACGAAGAATGATGGTAACGAAATTTATGTGCATTCTTACATGACTGTTAGTAAGTTCACTCAGCTAATCGTTATCGAAATGCCTCAAACCACTGATAACATACTAGCATTCCCCAAAGGCAGATTCGAGAAAGATGCGTATTGTGTTAATGTAGAAAGCAATGCAAGGCCAACTTGGTATCCAGCAGATCATCTGAAGATCGTAGAATGGCAAATTGTCAAGAAGAATTTGCCAGAGCCTTATGTTGCTGCTATTATTGACACAACTCAAGGTGCCAAGGCGAGTAAGAAGTGCATCAAGGAAAGCGCATTGCCAGAACTGGACATTGTCGAAAGCGGCTCTTTCTACAAGGTAAGGAAGGCGTTCCGTGTGTTATGGAAGAGCATCACTTTGATATTTAGCCGCTGACCTTTGCTTAACCTAGGAATTCGGCATCACGCCATCCACGACTTTGGTTGAAATCAACGCGGGAAAGTTGGAAATTACAGAAGTTCAATATCCTGGCGTAGACATAAATAGGGCTGCCGGAGGTTCTTGGTCCTTTAAATACAAGAAGTGTTGTCAACCAGGAAATGCTTACACAACTCTCCATGTTCTTTGGTTAAGATCTGCGGATGATCCAGCCCACAACCAGGCTTATATGGAAGACTTGACCAACACTTTGGTCTCTTCTCTACAGGCCTTTGGACTTTCGCAGATCACGAAACGTTTTTTCTCTCAAGCCCAAGTTCCGAGTCATATTCAGCATACGGCTCCGGAAGCTTATCGTCAAGCTTGCACTGATTCTTTCAATGAAGCTCTACCAGGAATGGGAGGACGCCAAAATGTCTCACTGATACTGGTTGTGCTTCCAGAGCGAAGTCGCAAGCTCTATCCAGAAGTCAAGAGATGGGGGGATTGTGATGTTGGGATCCCGAAAATCTGCGTAGTGGAAGAAACTTTAGGAAAGAGAGATCTGGCTATATGTGGCAATATTAGGTAAGTGGACCGTTCCTAATGACCTAAAATAGTCTTATATTAACAGCAACCAAATAGCTTAAAGTTCAACCTCAAGTTGAAAGGGATTAACCAAAAAGTCAACCAGAAGTGCGGGTTGAAACCCCAAACTATGGTTGTTGGTGCAGATGTTACACATCCTGGCGACGAAGAAGAGCGTCCTTCCATAGCTGCTGTTGTAGCTACGAACGATGAAGAATCGTTTCAATATCTCGGCTCTGCGCGACTTCAAGAAGGAAAACAAGAGGTACAATACATTGATACTATTTTTTTGTACATTCACATGACTAACCTACAAATCACAGTACATCTCAGATCTCCGAGGCATGATGAAAGAACGACTTCTTGCCTGGGCCGAAAAAGCTTCCAAAGGTCCCGTGGGACTCGGTGGTAGAGTTTCCCAAGTTGTTCCTGACCAGATTCTCTTCTACCGTGACGGAGTGAGTGAGAGTCAGTTCGGTATGGTTCGACATCACGAGAAACAACAGATTCTCGACGGTTGTATCGACGCATACAATCAACTAAGCCTTGATACCAAGAACAAACGTCCGGGTGCTCTACCAAAGTTAGCCAAGGGTGTAAAATGGAAGCCTGGCCTCACCTTGATCGTTGCAATCAAGCGACATCATGCCAGATTTTACCCTTGGTCTGAAGATACAGCAAATGATGCAATTAGCAAGAAAAACGATCCGAACTTGAATGCTGGAACTATCGTCGACTCGGTAGTAGTGACGCCCAACCATCTAAGCTTCTATTTGCAGAGTCATTGCAGTCCACTCGGAACGGCTAGAAGTACACAGTATGTCTTGCTTTACAATGATGTACAATACAAGGAATCTCCACTGGACATTATGAACATCTTAAGTTTCCCCGCTAATTTGATGGTTCACATGCTCCAGTATTTGCAGTGACATAATCAACTTAAACATATCTAGACGAATAAACTATGCTACACCAGCGCGCTATGCAGATCTTCTATGTGATCGCTTGAGATGCTATCTAAAGCCTGTCTTGGAAGGATATCGAGATACGAGGGTCACGAATGATATGGATGGGGCACAGAGGGCAACGGTTTATGAAGGAAATACGGTTGTTTGGAAGCCGAATACTGGAGTTGCTTTGCCGGAAGGGTGGAGAAATCCCTGGAACTCATTGGTGAAGGATATTATGTTTTATCTTTGAATTGGGGAGCTTACCATAGGGCAGATTCGGGTAAAGGAAGAGGTTTTTGGTACGAGGTTGGGATCTGGATTTGGAATTCTGGAGTTATGGTGTTTGGTAATATTTGCTGTGCTTGTGTTCTTGTGTCTGGCTATTTGTTTTATTTGCTTGAGGTGGCGATATTGAATATGATTTGATTGCAAGGAGTTTTTGTATATTCTTTGAATTGGCGAGGGTGGGGGAAGGGAGAACCGGGGGTTTCCTCAAATTTAATCTGCAACCTAAATGACAAACAAAATAATAATAGTCGCTGTAATCAGATACAATTTTCGTTTTGTGATGTTTCTTTTTAAGTGCCTAATGTGTATGTGATAGAGATAATGAACGGATGAGGAGGAAAAATAAAGTTCACAAAACCTACGCCACTTGGCGTTCTCGGAAAATAAGCGAGCTAGGCATCGCCTGCTTTAATAAACAAAATAAATCACTACTCGAGTACTCCTCGATATACCTCTTCTATACGAATCCTGTATCGAAATGGAGCTCAGCCTCACTGCCAATCGTAAAGCACGTTAATCATGAGATTGCTTTTTATCTCCGAAAGTCACAAATACCAATGGCTGCACATATCATCAGCGCCATCATTGTGATCTCCATCTTTCTTTATAGGATCACTGTTTTACTTTTATGTACACGCTCTTTAATGGTAGATAAGTAGCAGCCAAGCCTCTGATTATGTTAAATAAGTGTTAACGATTCTAAATTAAACCCTGAGAAATGCCAGTTGGCGCAATAGCATAGACTAAGTGCTAGCCGCGGAGGTCTTGCATATTTTCTTATGTTCCTTCCAGTCCGCCCTTTGACAAACCGAACCACAATACTTAACTGCATGACATCTCGCACATTGCTTGTGCTCCATATCTGCCAATGGAACTTCACCACACCTTTTACATCCTCTCAAATCCCCAACCCTAACCTGATCAACTATCTGCAATGTCTGCAAACTCGCATTAACATCCCGCAACGTCGATATAGAACGCAGAGATTTTTCATGCTGAGTCTGTTCTTCTTCCGAATAATGTACTTCAACGTAAGGCACACTCGACAACGGCATTAGAGCGATTCTCGTCGCATACTTACTCAAGATTTCCCAACCTTTGACTCGAGGAAAGTTTTCCCTGTCCTTTCCTTCCCCACATGAACAGGTTGGTGATTGGCTGAGTTCGGTGAAAAGGGTGATGGAGCTATACTGACGGTACTCGCATCCTGGGGCGTGGTTCCAGCTTTTTCTACAGGCTTCTACTGTTGCCGGAAGCATTTGTTTCATTGCGAGTTCATCTGCCTCCTTCATGGTGTACTCTACGGCTTGAGTAGTATTGTGGTTTAGTAGCTCGTCTAGGACGGGACTCAATGACGAGTTTTCTGTTTTGAATGGAAGTACATATGCATCCAACACAACCGAGCTCTGATCGATATTATGCCGCAATGCAGAGACGAAGATGATTGTGGCGATATGACGCTGGTCATGAGTTCTGAACAAGAATGTTTGCTTTCGGCCTAGAGGAGTTGGATTAACAAAGGACCTTGCCATATTGTGGATATAGCGTTTGATGTTGAAGAGAGCCGGGAGATCATTACTACTTTTCATTTCGGGCGAGTAAGAACGTTCTCGAGCACAAGACATGCTATGCATCAAACACTCAATCCATTCCACAGCTTTAGGGCCAACTGCAGATATGGTTGGTTGCTGATTTAGATTCACCTTGGGAAGAGTGAGAGGATAAGCTTCCGAACCATCTAGAATAATAGGAAAGGGATTTATGCCGTAGCCACCATAATCCAAGGAATTCGGAGCTGATCTGGGACTAACGACCAATGTCGAAATCTTTGATGATCGGTCAATTGTTGCTTGTTTGAGACTGAACGGATATGGGAATTGGAATCGCCTGTGCTCATTGGGCCCAAGTCTCTCTGATATGGTGCAAGGAGAAATTTGACGGGCTCTCATAGCCTTTTCTTTTTCGAAACTCTTAAACTTCTTTCGAATTCCCATGGTCGTAATCGACGAGTCGGCTCCCATTCGGATGAAGCAAAGTTGCTTAGAGGGACGGAATGCTGTTTGAGTAGTCGTGACACCTTTTATAGCACATGGCAATCGAAATCCTGGCGGCTCTCTTGAAACCAAGAGATTGTCGTCATCAAGCCCATAGCTGCATATCACCAATCTGCGCCCAAGTAAGGGGCCATAAAGCTTCACAGATGTTCCGGTAGCTAAGACTGCCAGTTCCACTCTAATATCATCCCTGGAGCCTACCGATAGTAATCTAGAAGGAATAGCACATGTTACAACTAGATTAGATGACCCTTTCCAACCGAGTTTGTCTTCCAAAACGTCATGAGCATTTCTGTCTTCAGAACTTCGAACCAAGCTGCCAAAAAAGCATTGAAGAGATGAGAAGTATGCATCACTATGCAGCTTTTTGTTCCAGATCTTGATTTGAAGTCCGACCCTACCATCATTGATGCACGTCGTAAGTGGTTTGAGGCTTTGTCGCGTGACACTTAAAGTGACCCACACGACGTCAGGAACACCTTGTTGGCCAAGCAAATTCACATTACCTTTTCGGTCTCGCGAACTGATGGAACCATCTTTGAAGCCCTCTTGACCTCTAAATATCATCTCTTGGGGAGATTTAGATAAATCAATTTGAGACAGACTGCCCAAGAGGCGAAAGTGCAAGGACAGTTCATGAAGCTGAAGACCGCCAATGCATAAAATCTTATCATCTTCAATGCGTTTGAGAAGCGACTCCACAAAGCGTGCCCAATGATCAGGAGGCCTGATATAATCTTTTGCTAGGCAGACAAGAGTAGCGAAGGTCAAGCGGTTGTAGTTCAAAGCATCAAGTAATCTTTCGGCTCTTGGAGAAGCCGACTCAAAATCAAACATCTTCAGATAGAGCCTCAAAAAGAAGTCTGCAAGTTCGTCATGTTCAAAGACTAATCCTACCCCAACCGGATCTTCTAAATTTGGACATCTCCAAGCGATTCGCATATGATAGCTGTCAGAGTCTCGGTGCAAGGTAAACTGTCTCTCAGCTTCTAGCCCGAGGGCATCTGCAGTGAATCCGAATAAGTAGCCAGAAGGTGCTAGTCCTAAGAGAAGTGACATTGTTGTGACATCGCAGCATAAGATATCGGATATTGTGTCAACGGGATCCTTGGTAAACCTATAAATTGTTTCTGTAAACATGGTTGAGGTTGCGTTACGCGACAATAGTGGCGATATAGCTGGCAGCAGATTTAAAATGCCTAGCGCATCAGACAAGTTATTAGTATCGATGATGTCAAATGCATGAATATCGTTTGACGTATCGAGATTGTCGAGAATCAATGGGGTGGAATGCCAGTTCGAGGCGTACAATCTGAGAATATATGGTCCCATTATTCCGGGATCTCTCAAGTGTTGCAGCTCATAACAAAGTCGCAAAGCATCGCCACAGTAGAGTCGAACCATAAATGCTCTGGAACGAACTTTCTCCCCAAAATTCATGCACCACTCCTGAAACTGAGATTTCGCCAATCTCACAACGCTATCTGTTAGTTGTTGTTGAAAAGTATCCTCATTGTCGAAGGAGCTCGCTATGTGAAACCCTAAGAGAGGGTCTGAGGTTGGTGGGATTGAAAATGTATTACCTGCCGAAGAAATCGCCATCAATGGATTCACGCGTCGACCATCTTGCTTCAAAGCTTTTAGATCTTGGGAATTTCCTGCGATTACGCCATGATCCCAGAAGCCATCGAAAGCGTAGGTCATTGTTTGAATAGCACGTCGCCAATGAGCACCTGCTGAGCGAAGACCATGTCCATGCTTCTTCCTGCCACCTTTTCTAGGTCCCTCCTTTTCGAAATGATTTTCTCTGATTGTGGTATCGATCTCGAATTGAAATTCAGTTTCAAAATGTTCTCTTTCTTCTGAGCCTTTTCTCAGTTCTGCGACCTGCAGATATTGAGACCAAATATCTCGAGTTCGATCTAGAGTGTCTTTGTTCATGAATTTGATTGCTGCACCATACACCGAAGATGACCATACTTCCAAATTCGCTGATTGCTCAATGAGCTTGGAGACTTGTGCTTGTAGCAAAGTATTGTCAGTATCTGTAATGTAGAAATGGTAACATATGTTCCAGATTGATGCATGAGATGTCAGAGATAAATTGTCAATGACGAGAGAAAAAAAGAGAACATTGCGTGCTGGACCAGAGATTCATTAGCACGTATTTCTAGAAGTTTCAAAGAAACCAGGGCTCTTTCACCAAGAATTGCGATCTCTAAATCACAGCACATGAATTCCCATTTTGTCTCATCTAGTGAGAAAAGAATGTTAGTATCTGGCCTCTTTCATAGGAACAAATTCGAATAATCCTGTTATCTCACCTTTATTGCACCACAAGGTGAAGAGTAAGTTTCTAGGATCTCCACAACCCAATAATAATGCTCTTACTGGATCACCGTTCTCGCGGAAGGTGCACCCAGACTGTAACAGATTGACTGCTGGTGTATTGCCGATCGGGTAGAAGTGATGCTTTAGGGTAAACGTGGTAGGACCTAACATCTTGACGATTCAGTTGGAGTATGGGAAGAAGATAAACAGGAGATTTTCTCAAAACAATATAGTCGCGGTTTTGAGTCACTGTATTCGTTTTAATCTGGTCGGGTAAAGATTTCTCGGTAATTCGTTTTGGTGACCCAACGAGAAGAAATAGAATTACTTGGTTTGGTATTCCTCTCAATAAATGCATCAATAACGTGGTTCACTAGATGTATACTCTGGTGAGTTGAGCTTAAGCCTCACTTAAGTATATAGAGATGAACTAATGACGTGAAATATTTCTAGGATATTCAACTTCAAATTTTATGAGTAAGATCGAATGTTTTGCAATAGAACCACACGATGGGCCAAGAATATTATTTTTGTAGTGAATTTCCTCTCCTAAAAGAACAGCAAGCTTTGGGTTAATGGACTAAGGATTGTAACACAGATAACATTATTAAATGTAAATGACTATCGACCTTTTGAAGTTGGAACGCCATAGATGAACCTAGGAGTTGTTTCCATATGTTAGCGAAGACTTCCATTTTCCAGTTTCACAAATTATGTAAGTATGAAGTTTATATTCGAAGACAGCGTTAGTTCGAGTGAGAATATGACTGCTTTAAAATCTTCTCCCACCCCCATCTCTCCTTATTTCCTGCTCGTCGCCGTCGTTCTTCTATGGCGAGGAAGGAGTGATAACAACAGCGGTGCCAACATAAACTGACAACAATGGGAGATTGATAGTTTTTCTGTTATTCTTGAGGGAACGAGTATAGAATAAGGTCGGTCAACCGAAGAGTATCAGCGGCAAAGCGAGTCTTGATATTTTCACGAAAGACAGGTGCGCATACTGCGTCGTGAGTACTTGTCTATTGGGGTGCTGAGCACGTCAATTTTCAATAGATTGACTTTGAGCTTTTTAGCTCTTTAAAGCTCAAAGACAGTTCTTTGACAAGAAGTCGAGCCTGGCCAGCCAAGAACCTCCAAGCACCCGGAGAAATCTGATTCCAATGGCCAGCACTGGATATTGCGCAACAGTTGTCTGCATTACGTTGCATAAAGCTCGAACGGCTTCTGAATGTCCTGAATGTCTATGATCTTGATTTAGAGCATCACCAGTAAAAAATATACCTTCTTGAGTGAATAGGGAATAACATTGAATCAACTGCTGACGGCTATTGTGTGACATGCGAGCCTGGGAAGGAGTACTCTGAGATCATCTAAAAACACTCTCGAAATCATCACAAGAAAACAGTATAACTGATGACCTATAATTGAACGGCTATATTGAGAATTTTGAGAGGTTGTAATAAATCGAGAGTATTGTAAGACTTATATGATGCGTTAGGTGACATGGGCCCTCCTGCTAAAACCTGGGAGGCTTTCAGTAACTTCATCATTTTCATCTATTAGTTACCTCCACCTCCAACGTTCTTATAAAGCCGTGCCGATCTTCCTTGTCCATAAATTTAGATCGTTTATTCGTCACCGAAGTCGTGTTGGCGCAAGGGAGTTCGGCGTTCGCTTATCTTATAATATCTCGATATTAGCGTGACATATTTTGAATAAGTTTCACAACCACACTCGAGTACAATACAGACTTCATTTAAGCTTTACTTTATTCGAGAACTTTGCCATTACGTCTTCTAGATTGATAACTTCGATTCATGACTTTTCATAACCGGCAGGTCCAATCGTTCAACATGGCTTTGTGACCTTCGGTATACTAGTTTGACTATCTTTCTATCTCCCCGTAGAAATCGATCGAACACCCATCCATTCCATTCCCCACCAAACTCTCCCTATCCACATATGCGAAATTGCCAGATCCAAAAGTCTGTCTAGATATTTAATCCACCGTAATCGTACCATTCACACAACTAACCCCCATGTCCACCACACCTTCCAACCCCATACAAACTTCTCCTGCCGCAGTGCCATTCTAATGCTCAATTCTCTCGTTAGCAAGCAAGCTTTCAATTTCCAAATACCGGTCCGATATTATTCGAAATCTGGATTGACTCACTGCTGTGCTCAAATCGATATTTTCAAAGTGGAAGTTTTCACAGTGAGCATGATCGTGACAGAGGAGATACAAACCATTGTTTGGCGATTCACCTGTGTTCCCATACATCAATCATCCAAATTTCCCACGCAAACTTCCACTTTTTCTTCCACCAAAAGAAGAGGAAAGAATACTGACCAGTACTCGTAGTAGCGTACCAACACTTCTCACCCACGCAACTCCCATCGCCAACCACCACCGCCACACTCCCCCTCACCCCCTTCCATCAAAAACCCCTCGCCCACGCCACTATCCCCTCATCCGACCCACTCGGCACCTCTTTCTCCTGATCATAATAATCCTCTATAAAATTAATCGGGAACCCCAAATTCTTTACCTCTATATCTCTCCAAGTCACATCTGTTACATTACACGAAGTACCTATTGCGCCCTTAAACCTCGCTGCCATTAGACTATCATAAATATATGCATTTTCGAACGTAGAATTACCACCTACACCCTCAGCGCAGGAGACGGACAGACCGTGAGTTCCTGAGGCGATGACGTTGCGGACTAGGTGTTTGAGCTTTTAGAGATTTCCAGTCTTATCCAGGGGCTAATAGAATCAGTACTGAATCTTGATCGAAGAGTAGCTGGGATAATGCTGTATGACTGTGACGTTTGTTGCTGGAGGTGAGATATTAATTATGTCGTCGCCGTTATGGATTTCGAGACCGTCGATTAGGACGTTGGAGGCGGAGAGATCGATGCCATCTGAAGGTATCCACTCTTCATATTTCACATCCTCATTATCTCTGTCCGAAACAATATTGGCAAAGGGCTCCATACCGGTATTAAAAGGAAACCCATCACTACTCCTCGCATCAATCAATATATCCCTCATCTCCACATCACTCCCCCCGATCGAAAAGACCCACGCCACCGGATTAAGAACCTTAATATTGCGAATCGTCAGGCCACTTTCCAAACATTAGCATCAATTCCCTAATCCCCAATTCCAATCCCCCTTCACATAACCAAACACCAGAAACCATACATACACCACCTCAAACCCAAACCAATGAGGCCTCCCCCCAATAACCTCATCCCCCTTCCTCCCCCTCCCCCCCTCCCCTCAAACCCCACATCCACCCCCTTAACCGTGATCCACCTCTCCCTATAAACCCTCGTATTATCAACCACCTGCTGCACCACCGTTACATTATCACTCAAGCTAACATTACCCTCAAAGAGGAAATTGACACGTGAGAGATTAGTGAAACTGAGGGGAGTAAGCAGATTATAGGTTACGTTTGGCTGGAAGAGGATTGTTGCATTTGGGCCGCAGAGATTGACGGCGGTGGTGATGGCGGGGGAGTCGTCGATTAGGGGGGAGGAATGATAGGGCATGGGGCAGAGTTTTGCCGAGGAGAGGGGGAGCAAGAGGAGCGGGAGGAGAGAAATTGTGTGGAGGAGCTTCATTGTTTGTCTGAACACTTTTCGATTCGCAATTGGCTAAACGATTTTGGACTTGATTGTGCTACGGGTATGAGTATGGATACACAACGACTTTAAATTGCGTACTAGTACGAGTACCTTGGGGAGGGAAGGGGAACAAGGTGATGTGAGGGATCGCTGAGGATGTACAGATCTCGCTAACCCCTGTAATTGTGAACGAACAAGCCCACGAATCAAATGTTTAGGAAATCTTGTGCGATATGGGAAAAAAAGCCCACGTCGTATCTGATGCACCCCTTTCCTATAACAACCGTTTATTAGGGTGTATTTGTTTGGCATCCCCTTGATATAGACTAAAACTTTGTATTGTACATTTTACGGCGGGTCGCGGCTCTTGCGGGCGGAAACCTGTATGGGATTAGATGACTCCATCGCGATTAATAATGACCCCTTTTCAATACTAAGCAAAATCTTCCCTTTGCCGTAATGACTGCTGTCGACGTCAAACTATACTTCTCCGATCCTATATCTTAAGATACCACCCAGTTGTGGTACCATTGTTAAAATTATGCAGAAAGACCCCTCTTCTCGCTTTCCGAGAAGAAAATGACCATCCTCCACAACTTCTTCACTAGAACTTCTGCTTCGTCATCCAATGCCTATTAAAAGTCAGTACATATTCCACACATCAAAGAATAAAACAGAGCAAAAGAGAAGTAATAACATACCCCTTCTAGCTGCTCCACCAAATCCTGGGGCTTTCCCCTCGTCCTAACATGTTCCTCCACCACCTCCACGAGTAACTGCTCCTGCACGCCCAGATATTCCACAATCTTCTTTTCCACAAAAGGTCTTAACTTCTCCACGATGATTGCATCATCCACATAATCCCACTTGACATCCCATGCCCAAAGTCCCTCTTTCTCGGTTGGTATCTCTTGTGCGAGTTGTCGAATCGCTTGATCTCGCTCTTCGTCAGAAAGACCAGCGGCCGCTGTTGCAGGATCGAATTTAATTGGGATAAGGGTACGTTTTGATGTGGTATCGGCATCTTCTTCATCTTCAAGAAGACCTTCGACTTCAGCGACAGTGCGGCGAGGCGGTGCTGCCTTTTGAGCCTTTTGAGCTGCAGCTCCAAGAGACAATTTGAATGGCTGCTGAGCCATGCGAGGAGATCTGGTTTCGAGTTCCTCGGCTTGACGGTCCAGAAATGAATCTGCTAATCCTCTAGCTTGCTCCCTATCCGTTGTCTCGCGGCGTCTCTCGTGTTGTTCTGTGACTCTATCTCGCTCATCAGCAGCAGCCTCACGTTGAAGAATGACTGCACGATTGCGAAGCCAGAGACTTCGATCAACATAATATGGATCAGTTTTGCGAGCAGCCTCAGCATCATCATCCCATTCCTTGAGTCTTGCAGCCATTTTCTGTTTCAAGACATCCGCATTCGCAACATCCTCATCTTCGCGTTCCTTTTCTCGTTCAACAGCTGCGGTGCGAGATCTTTCACGATTAAGCCATCGTCGTTCTTGATCGAGGTATTGCTTCTCGAGTTCTGCCTCTTTCTTTGATTTTCGACGTCTTTCGAGCTCTTCGTCACTAGCATCACTATCCTCGTCGTCGCGATTATAATGAACGTCTCCACCAGATGCACCACCATTCATACCGCTTCCATTAACGAATTTGACACCAGCTTGATAGTCTCGTGGAATCTGTTGGCCCTGTAATTTAGGACCTGAAGGTGCATTAGGTACACCTCTTGGTCCAAGGGGAATATTATTCGTACCAGCCGCAGGCCCACTAGGGATTTGAGGCCCAGGTGAAGCAAGTCGTGAAGGTCGAGGTGCACCGTTTCTCTGTCTTTCCAATGCCTCCATCTCCTCCTCGCGCTTGAGTCGTTCAATATCTCGTCTATTACTTCGATCCCTAAAGGCAGCAATTTCTTGTGCAACAGTTTCTCTCATCTCGGCTGGGATATCCGCGAGCTCATCGTCTACTGCCAAGGGAATATTAATAACTTCAACGTTGTCACCCCCATCCTGCATAGCAATGTCCTCTGGACTGACTTCAACCTTGACGAACATGGGTGGATGGAATAGTTCGTAAAGTACCCCCTTTAATCCCATTTTCGCTGCATCGAGTCGTGTCTGCTCGCCTGTAGCGTCATCGCCCTTTGTACCCTGATAATTCTCCAGATAATTCAAAGAATTATCATCCACAAATACCAACAAGTTGCTCTTCTCGATTTCTTTCTTATCACCACCCTCACCCTCCTCTTCCTTTTTTAACTCATCGAATGGTGGTTGCTTCTTCGTCGGAATTTCAATATCTTTCAAAATTTCCACCGCCGTAGCCAAACTCTCCGCATCATCATATTGTGCGAATCCAAAGGTGCATTCCTTCCCCGTTGCGTCAATAGCTCTATCCCATCTGCGTAATCTACCTGCCGAGCTAAGGATCCGCTCAATCCCATCATCTCCACCAGCGCCTTCCGTGATACCTCCCACGAATATCGTTCTCACAATTTCTTCCTTCGTAGGCGGCACCAAAGACATCATGCTATCCCTCAACGCCTGTCTCTGCGCACTCATGCCTGTTTCCGACCCAAGTCCCGCTTTTCCTCCTGTAGAATCCATTCTCGAGCCACCAGCTGAAACTGGAGTACTGGGTTTCGCAGGACCGGTACCTAATCGTATGACAGGCGCGTTGAAATTGATATTTGGCATATTGGGTGGACCTTGAAAACTAGCTGGGAGTCCACTAGGTCGCGAAGTCTGTGGATTATTGGCTTGCTGTAAACCGGGAGGAGGAGCAGTACCTGGCGCAGACATGCCTGGTGGAGGTCCTATTCACCCTCATGTTAGCTTAACGTAGCTAGCTAACCCTCCATGGTGCAATTTTTCTTACCCATTCCTGGAGGGGGTCCCATGCCAGGCGCAGAACCACCTTGACCTGGAAATCCACCAAATCCTGGAGGTCTACCATAAGGTGACGCTGTAGAGAAAACAAATCATTGATTAGCAAAAGAGTAAAACACGAATCCCCAGGACCATGAATGAATTGTCTTACCTCCATAAGGATTGTACGACATGATTGCCAAAGACTGGTGAGTATGATTAATGTTCTTATTATATTAAGTTCTGCGAGTAAATACAATAGTATAAAATAGAAGGATTAAAGTTGGCGCAATGAGTGTTCTTTATATGAGAGTATTAAAGTTCAAATTTCGAAGTCCAAAGTTCAATCTAAAATTCACAAGCTTCAGCGCACGGACCCATTCACAGGACTTGTAAGGTTCTTAGCGCGTCACTCCAAAAAAAGTCGAGTGTATACCTGACTAGATATAGCCTCAACCACACCTCAATTGAGAGAGAGAAACCTACCATTCCCATCAACGTAAGTCTATATTCCCTCGCAGATCCTAAGCTACTTAATTAACTCTCATACAGAATCATGGAGTTACGAAACATCGGAACTACCGCATATCGGTCGAGCATGAGAGATTTCCCATTCGCCCAGTTGTTACAGTCCCATAAACAAACTATCACAACCAGAATCCCCATAAGTCATCGAGCACTCTCTACAACCTCACGAACATACGCCATACTCCCCCAGCCTACTACACGAACGCAATTTGCTCAAAATTCACCCTCATCCTCATCCTCACCTTCACCCTCGAGCCCCGAAACCCCCAATCTCTTCAAACCTTCCTCTAGAACCCCGCCCGCCCCCAAAGAAGACACCCTCGAATCGATCGGCAGCGGATCTATCAGTCAAAGCCTCTCATGGATGCTCCCCAATCGCACCGCCCGTTCAAATTACACACCCTCCCGAGCGCAAATGGAGAATGCAACTACCCCCCCCATCAGCAATGCATCAGCAACATCATCACCACAACTAAGTTCCTCCGCTCTCCTCAACCAAATAAGCAATCCCTCCTCATCCTATCCCTCTAGCCGGAACCGCTACAGCCCGATGCAAAACCCTTTTGGGAATATGATAATTCCGAACAAGAAAAGCACATCTACCAGCTTTTCCGAACTCCAGGAGGAAGTGGCCGCCGCATTGCCTTACAACCCACCACCACGTGCCCCAATGCGACTCACGCCCCGCACGGGCCGAACCGTCGATATCAATAGTTCGAATGTAGATTTGTCGCGAGGAATCCGAATGTTGGAGGCATCGTGTGCCATCAATAAAGTGCGTCATGACCACACGCATCAGAGATTCTACGAGAGAGCTGGCATGAAAAGGAAGAGACTTCATCGGCAGCGATGGAGAAATAACTTCTTGGAGGGGTTCAAGGGTATTGTGGGCAGAGTAAAACAGTTAAAGAACCAAGGGTGGTAAAAGGTTATAAGATATGGGATGAGTGTACCACGTTTGTATACCATGTAACCATCACTCATCACCATTATCATCATCAACATAGTACATACGCTCAAATCAGCACAACACAGCTGCTTCAATATTTTCCACCCAAGATCCATTTCATTTCCTCAAAAATCTCTCATTTTCTTAATCGATCAATTCTTGTCCCATCTCGTAAATCATCGTATTATCCAAGCTCAAGACACTTACCTACACAGTATCTAAACAAGTCTCACAATCTTTTCCTATAACCTCTAGCCCCTCGTATTTGTATGAACCCATTCCTCCCAATTCACATCATCTAATCGGAAAAACCCCTCTCTCTCACTCCTTCACACATTCAAGTCTATACACCTCGATATTCCTCCCAACTCCCTATTCCCTATTCCATCTATCCAGCCGTCAAATAAGATGATAAGTAAACAAAAGCAATTATATAGCCCAGCCCAGCCCAGTCCAATCCACTACTCAAAGAAAAAGAAAAACCCAATGTATTCACCGTCACTCAATCAACCCCCTTTCCAACCCCAACACCAACCCAAAACCAAAACTAATCCAAAAACAAAAACAAATACCGGTATATATACCCATCCACGCGTTCCAACCCTACACCACCTACCTCCAAAAGGGCAGGATTTAAAACCCCATTTTACCCCGAACCTGCATCATTATCATCATCACTATCATCATCATCTACACTCACACATCGCCCATCTCCAGTTGCCATCATCCAATTCCCCAACCCTCATTCCCCAATCCTCAATCCCCAATTCTCAATGCCCAATCCCCATTCATACCTGCATCCATCTATCCATCCATCCAACGAACAAACCCATCGGAGTCACCCCTGAATCCTCCGCAATCCGCAATCCGCATCCCCATCTCAAATCTCAAATCTCAAATCTCTATACGCCCATGCGTCTTGCCACCGGTCAGAGGTCCGGTTCCCCGAGGGCTTTATATCTTTCCTGGCAGAGACAGAGTCCTTCGAGATCAAGATCAAGTCAGTATCATAATCAAACCCAAAATCAAAATTTACCGTACCAACCAACCAACTAAGCGTTCCCACCAAAAGCAAACGCGATAACAAACCTATTCAAAATTCCACGAATAGACGAATATGGAATCAAAAGGATGAATCATCTATCTCATCGAGGAAGCGGTGGGTCCTCCGAATGGTTATCTGTAAACCCCAATCGACACCGTCCATTTATGCCCATTGTGAATTCTGGATCCAGTTATGGTGATATTGTTCGTACTTAGCCACCTGGTAACAACCTCAACCAAAGCTTGAATCATTTCCCCGGTCTCAAGGACCCTCTCCCAATACAATTGTAGATTACCTCAGCGCTGGGAACCCCATCATCAGTAATTCGGCCCTCACTCTTCGGTGGATTATCTCCAGTGTATCTTATCCGACCTCTCTCGAGCCCCTCTAGATCCCCTCCGGATCCCATCATCGTGATATTGTCCATCGAGTATTGATATTCTCCCCACCCTATCCTCACCAAAACCTCTGCAAGTGCCTACCTAACCTACATTAAACGCTTCTACCTCTCCACAATCACCATTGTCTACATTGCTTTCTCATCTACGCAAATTGCTACAAAAGCTAAATCCGCTCCATGAAGAAACTACTTACTAGTATATCTTGAAATACCACTATCGATTTAGGCCATAACTTGAGAATTGATCCGAATTTACCATTAGTCCCTATCGTATCTAAAAGACTTAATAGATTTCATGATAGCCACACGACAATCTAAAACGCTATACCCCAAAAATGACATTTTGAAATAGCTACGGTAGTAAAGGTGTTGACAAACAATATACCAATATATCACTTTTTTGGAACTCGGACGACCGGAAGAAATTGTCGGGAGTAATTATACTTCGGTCCAGACTCATCGGTTAGGGCTCTGGGAAGAGTTCTAGAATCATTCATTAAATCTCGGCGGCACAGCTGTCAAAGCCGTGAAAGCGGAGAATTCCCTGCCAAATTCTAGAACGACTACAGAACGTTAATTCTGAAAGAATCACACGTGACATCTGCAATATTCGTTCGGGGGCGGCATAGTTCCCGCTGATAGGAGGCCTCATCTGTTGGATCTTTGGTGAGACTGTCCAATTAATGTCATGTAAATATGAGGGAAGTATCTTGCCTTCCTCTGCGTTTGTATACAATGTTGCTGTTTGCATATTCAGGCCAAGGGTGTGAAAAAATAGCATATGTATATCTCGCTGGTCGAGGATCATCGGCGGAGGCGGACTCAACTCCGAATCTCATAGTTTGCCCCCGCGGCAATTAACATCCAACGTACTTTCGATAGACTTGTGTGGCACTTCTGTTCCTGCAAACAAATTGAAAGTTCACCACTCAGTGAAAATAACGGTGTTCTTTCTCATTAGACGATTAAGATGGCGGTAAGATGCTCATGCTGTCCTGGAACTTTCAACCAAATGGGCCACTGGAAGGCTGAAAATGTCTTAGCATGACGATCTTTCGAATTACTTAACGTTGTTCCTCAAATCCAAAATTTCGTCATCTTGAACACTCCACAAAGTTCTGGGGTGAAAGAGGAGCAGTTCATCGACCCACGATGTGCAATACGGACTTGAATTTCTCCAAGCAAACGCGTGGTATCTGACATCCACATCAATTATGATAGTCTTCCTCGTGAGCTAGACGGCGGTCTTTAGCTTTCAATCGCGCGGCTCTCGGCCCCGGTGTTTTAGGCGCCTATCTGGTGATAAAAGTGCCTGCACTGGTCCTTCATCTTCCTGTGCTACATAGGAACTTTTGGTCGCCACTGGTATTGAAAAATTAGTGTTAATCCCTAAAAATATTACCAGTGGCAGGTATAGTGTTCTTGAAAACCCCACAGGATGCATCCAAACGCTTCCCTCTAGGCGAAGCATGCCTGAAAACTAGCAATCCAAGAATCCCCATCACTGATTCGACACATCAGTAACGACAAAACTTTGCATTGCATTTAGCATGAGTTTGAAGACACCCTGGTTCCCCGGACGGGTCTTCTCAAGATCAAAAGTACCAGATCGACGCAACCTCTTCTGATCTTTCCTCTCCCACACCTCTCCGTCATCCAATCCTATCAATGTGGCAGATCAGGATCGCTCCTTTTATACTTCGACGTGTACGCCTTTTCTCTGCAAGCTGCCAGCTTCGAAATTTAAACCTTCAAGCACCACATACCGGTAGTCTATGCCAGGGCTTGCTGACCAATATTATTTGGAAACAGGTTTGTGTATGGTGCGACCGTTCGAAGAGCTTTGTATAGCCTCATGGCGCTTCTCGATCCTTCATCATTTTCATTCTTGGGTTCAAAGCCTGTATTGTTCTATCACCTTCCCAACGGAATCCTACTCATCGCCACTTGTCTTTCTCGCACATCCTTTAACTTTGAATAGTAAAAGTACGGATCATTCACACTTCTTGGAACGACGTCCATTTCACCTCCAACATGTCGTTGCCCAATCTTCGCACTATTCTTCCCAACAGTTCGGATCCTACCTTTAGGGATAGCTCCACAAGCACTTCGAATTGTCAGAAGGCCACACCAGACACGACGAGCTCCAACCAATCTGTATCCTCTGTGCCCACTGACAAGAGAACGGAAAAGTCGGTTCATGTCGCGACTCATGTCGCAACTCATGTCGCAGCTCATGTCGCGAAGAAGAGGAGATTGCCGGCATCGATAACTACAAACGCGTGTGGCAATTGTAAGAAGGCTCGATCAAAGGTAGGTGATTCTCAACATCATCTGTAATGCACTTGCACTATGGTGTTAAGAGCCCAGCATGTATGCCTGGTAACTAAAGACTATACAGTGTGATGGCAAACAACCTTGTGGTCGTTGTACCGTGAGACAGTTCCACCACGAAGATTGTTTATACGAACCACATACCAAGAATGCGAAGAAGACCTTGGTGAAAGACCTTAAAGAGAGCCATGCTATCAAACATATGGCCGAAAAAATCTTCGAAGGTCTCGCGAACGACACTGACAACGAGCATGAAATTCTTGAGCGTATTAAGAATAAAGAATCGATCACAAGCATTGCACACTGGATAGATTCCATGGACAGCAATTGCGAATCCCAGCCATCTATATCTGGAGGTTCTGAAAATGAAGTCGACGGTGATCTGCCTAAGCCTTTTCCTTGGACAACAGTGACATCTGAGCACAAGGTCATCGACCATTTGATCGCCTTGTATTTCACATGGGTTCACCCCTTCCACCCTTTATTCAATGAAGGACATTTTGTGAAAAGTATGCGAAGCGGATCCGACGCATTCTGCTCATACAGTCTTTTTAATGCTATCTGTGCCATGGCATGCTATCTGCACACTGGTATCGAGAACGAGGATGTGGATTACAAGCAGATGGGCTTCCAGTTCTGTGATTTGGTCAGGAGCAGTATCGATCCTGAAGATAAGAGTCTAACGAATATTCAAGCCTTTGCGGTCATGTTCTTGGTACGCTGTGCACAAGGACAAGGATTAAGCGGCTCGGTATATCTGACTGTCGCGAGCAGGTCTATGGGGAGCCTCAGGCCCAGAAACAATGACGACGTTGATTATCGCCAAATTTGGAGGGAGACAGTGAGAGGCGTTAACAGCTTGAATGTGTAAATATACAGATTGCAGCAATCCAATTCTACTGATAGCATGACTAACATACCCAGCGAGTGGGCCCAGATGACCTTTAAGATGGCACCAGCTCTCATCTCAGAGCTGCAGCCAATCCAATTTGCCGAGGAAATCAACAGATGGGAGGATGAAGTTGACAAGCTCAGGTGGAAGGTATATCGTGTTCCCGTGGACTTCGAAGGCGAACCGACACTGGCCTGCCTCACGGCTACAACCAATCGTGAAAAGTCGAAGCTCATTGTAATCATTCACGACGCTACGATCCTCCTGTACAACACCAGTGATTCTTGGATATACGCTGAAGATATGTTGGCTATGTATCGCAGATTATTGGCATGGCATGAAAACCTTCCGAAGAAGATTGCTAGGACAGGTAGAAAAGACGCTCAAATGTTGCCACATGTGCTCTCACTGCAGTAAGGCTCATCCTGCTACTCTCCCCTCCCTTCTGTGAAGCGGCGCACTGACCGACTGCTCAGTATATTGTATGCCACAACGGCAGTCCACCTTCTCCGTCCACTGCTGGGTTTGGGAGAATCCCTTGTGGACCCACTGGTTTGGCAGCATGCACAAGAGGGGCTCAACCTTATCGACGATCGATATCGCTTTCAATATGGATGTTTTAACCAGCCTGTCTTTCAGATATTCGCTATCCTGCATCTGACAGAGGTTCTGATCCGATGCTTTCCAGATATTAATAAGGAATTTGGAAAAGATGGTGTGGCATCCGTAAGATTAGCCACTGATGTCTTGACAGAGTCTCAAAGTAGCTTCCCTGTAGCTGGAGTCTTTATGACGATGCTTCAAGAAACTACCAGGAAATATTTGGTTCCATTGCCAGACGAATTGGAAGACCTCTTCCGTCGCCGACGTCGCAAGTCGAAGTATCTTTTGGACGATGCCATCAACGCATGTGCCAGTCCCACTTATGTCCAACCAACCGAAGCAATCCAAAGCAGGTTTTCCCCGGATCTACCGTCTCAATGGATGATACATGCCGCCACTGGGCTTCCTAGGATCCCTCACGGGACATCAATGTTACTCCAGCCTTCACAGCACTCACAGTCCTCACAGTCCTCACAGCCTTCACAGGAGGAAACAGGCGCACAGAATCTCATGCGAATCCTAAATTTGCACAACCCAAGGTGATACCATTCATCGAGTGAAGATCATGCCAATTATTTCGAGACCCCGAATAAGCAACTGCTTTTAGTTTTTATGTTTTCATGCAGAAGTCTTGGGACGGACAGTGTTCGCGAATCGTATTTTGAAGCGTAGCCGAGGTTGTTAGTGACTCGAGAATTTGTCTGCTCTTGCAACGAGAAAGCCTTGACTGTATTACAAGATGATCCTTTTGTGGACTACTGCAAAAGATATTCTCAATTGATTGTATCGCCTGTGCGTTTCGAGTGTTGATTATTACTCAGAATATATGGAGTCAGGATGAAAAGATAGTCTGTCCAAAAGACCGCAATGATTGGGCTGAGGCAGATGATTGTGTTTCGTTTATGCGTCTTTCCACAAATTTCTATCCACTTACTTGTACGTCCATCGCAATACATACTGTATTGCGCATGATGCCGAACTAGCATCCACGATAACACTTTTGGCTTCTTGTATCCTCCTTGCAGTTATGGCTGAAGGCTAAATATCAATCGTCAATATCATCGTAGCGCACTCGTAGATTCGAGGTCCAAGACTGAAGATCGCTGTCCGGTTCGTGGACTTTTCAATTTTTGTGGACACTTGGAGTGGAGATAACTTTCTTTGTAATAACCTACCGGTGCTCCTAAGTTAATGTGGAGGATGATTCTTCATAGATTTTACATGCGACCATATGATAGTCTGTAGAATGGTTTGGGTCATCAAATCTGATATTCTGTAGCAATATGTCATCCTTAATTCTCGCTGGGGAGGAAGAAAATTGAGTCGAGTGTGGGAACTGAAAAGGAACATTTCTGATTTCTTTGGTGGTACACTGAATTGACGATAAACCTGATTTTGCGAGTCGAGTCAATTTTTTTGACTGTTGCAGGTGCTAGAATCGTCAGGTATAGTGCTTCGTCGGAAAATTTTGATATGAATCCATGATGGTGAAGGTAAATAGATGGCGATGGTACTATGCCCTTTGTTTGTCTGCACATGGCCGGTAACCTCATGATATAAAGGCATAATGGGTTACTGTATGAGCTACGGTATTTGTATCGATTCTTTTATTGCCAGCGTTCCTTGTGGACTTGGCGCAAGAAAACACACCACCCGATCAAAAGCCCAACCTAGTATGTCGAGTGAGTGACTTTGAGGGAGGCGAATGAGGGCTCATACGGAGATGTTTCCACTGGGTGTTTGATTGGTCACTTGAATTAATTCAGTGGATGGGCGTACTTCTATCATAGATAACAAAGACTCACCAGCAACTACGTAAATATGTGGTAGTGAGTACTTGTCTATGATTAAGTTGATTCCCGGGCCCAATATTGACCAAAATGTAGTCAACTTCGATCAGGTTCAAAATCAGAAGCATATCAAATGGGCTGAAGTATATGGTACCTTGTACCATCTTTACAGCAGCTGTATGTTTCTTTGTTGACGTGGATTTGATATCGATTTCGACACATACAAGGTTGTGCGTTTCCACTATAACCCGCAATGATCTACGTGAGGATGAGATCCATCTAGATATGTGTCGATAAGGAAAGTCGGGGGCTTTGGGAGATTGAGTAGTGATATCAATCGATCATGTGGTTTCTCTTCGACTCTGCGTCCTCTTGAAGTCAGAATTATATCAATAATAGCCCTTCTTGTCATATCAACACAAGAACCGGGAATGTTAACTTTAAACCGGGGTGTCGAATGGATGAATTGGATAGCTTACTTGTACCAATGTCCCAAAATCAGTTGATCTGATATTGATATCGAGGATTGCAGACCACATAGACACAAGCACTGCATTGCAAAAGGTGCGACTGCTAGATATATTATAAAGCTTTCCAATTCAAGGATATCGGAAGTATCGAGTTATTTATTGTATCTGTTTCTCAGCAATCTCATTCATTACTGGGTGTACGAACATTGACCTGAGAAGAAAGATTGATTCGAGGATGAGAATAAAGATGAGGATGAATATGAGGATGAGGATAAATGGGAAATGAGAATGAACAATTAAGGTTAAGAAACGATGTTGAAATAAGGATGGTGCAAGTGCGCTTGTTTATGGTAAAAAGGGAAGGCACGCTGCGGTACTCATGTACAACCGTGCAATATACATATAGTATTAGTAATACTTGTATCACTGGTTAAGCCATCCTAAATACTCATGAATACCAATTGAATAATCATTTCTGGTGGTAGTTGGTATATTATTTTAGATCATATATCATTGTATGCGACCTGAGAGCGTATCCGTGAGATATACTCGAGTATATCATTGTCACGATCACATCTTATTAAGCAATCTCTGAGAGGACATTGCTGAGAGGCTTTTATATTATACCTAATGACTTACTCATAATCAATTCTACTCCTTTCACCATCTCATTCTTATTCTCTCAATCTATCATCTAAATTTATAGTAGGAATGATGGATGTAGTTCTTCCTAATCACGTGACGCTACTTTCATCCACCTCGTTCCGATGCTAAAGGAAAGGGGTTGAGCTAAGTCCCAATTGCCGAAAGTTTGATTCTCGGTATACGATCACACTTTTGGTTCTTCACTATTAATTTCATACGGAAGATTCGATCTCCTAGCCTACGGGTCGAGCTATTCCAAGTAAAGGATAGTTCTCAGAAATTCGTCAATGAATCAGGTAATTCCGAATTCTACAAGTAGCAAATGCCAGTTTGGTAATGTAGCGTTATGAGAGTGGGTGTGCTAGATGTACTCATGGTGCGGAATATAGATTATTCCTAAAATTATGAGATTGCTATCTAATACCCAAAGAATTGTTTCCTACAAAGCTCAGTTGTATGCTATAATAGTATATATGCCCATACCTCGATATCTATAAATTGATTAACATTTCATGGTATAGATTCTCGACTCCTCTTCTCTTCCACAATTCATAAGCCATAAACCGAGTGCCAGTATCCACTCTAGAGTCTCCCGAATCAAAGCATCTCCGAGTATAACAACCGATTCATTTTTAAAGTTGTCAAACGTTCTTACTAATAATCAACTCTCTAGAACTTGGCCGCCTGATCTCCCAGTCGGAGAAAGCGAGTGTCACACGTAAATAAGTATCTTATTTACATTTTGATTATTTTGAATAATAAAATGAATAGAATCTATAGACAGGACACTTGCTTTATCTGATTAAAACAAGCAGCCGATCTCTAGAGAGCTGACTATTTTCTTACCCCCTTCTTTATATTCTTTATATCCTATAAATCCAAATCCAAATCCTCCTACTAGCCTTCTACTCTTTCCATTCCATTCTAATCAATCTCCTCTCTCCTCTTTGAAACTCTCACCCCTCTAATACCCTCAACCAATCATACTACCTTTACCCCTCTAATCCTAATCCTCAACCCTTAACTCTCACCCCCTAACCCCAATCTCCCCTCTTTCCTCCTTACAAAATCTCAAAAATACTTAGTATATTTACTCACACATCAATTTCATATCTACTACTCAAATAGAATATTCTATAATCCGAACTATCGATATAATATATATCAATATTCTTAAATTCAATAGTTTATTTTATTGCAAATTTAATAAAGAAGTAGACTAACTAATTCTGTAATATCTGAAATTAGATATAACTCTAACCAGATTATAATCTAGGCTATTGAATCAATTCTACTCGAGTAATTATATATAAAAACTATCCTATACTCGATATTAATAATACATTATTCTCACTCTAATTTATTAACTTGAATTTATAAAACGATTTAAATAACACTAATATTTCAAGTCTTTATAGACCAATTCAAAAGTCTACTAGTAGATACTAACTTGAACTCGAATTTTCAAATATTAAAATTAGACTTATTAAACTAAAATTTTTATTTATTCATTTCAATAGCTTATATAATTGAATCCAAATAGTTCATCAACTTGAATAGTTATCTAGACTATTATTTAGATGTTAGATTACGAGATTACTAGTATTAGATATACTATACTACACTAATACTTATATATATATCTAATCATTCATCCAAGCATCCCCATCCATCTATTGTCTTCCATTTGTTTTTAACTCCTAATTCCTAATTCCTAAACTACCAATCCCTACTTCCTATTCAATCCCTCAATCATTTACTCGAGTATTTCACTTCACTTATTCACTCATTCATCTCCTCACCCACTAAGTTCCTCACTCACTCAATTCCTCAAAGCCTCCTTCACCATAACCATAACCATACCCATAACCACATCCCTTCTCTCCATGCACAGTGATCCCATTCATAGTAATTCCATTCATTTCTCTCACTCTCTCACCCTCTCACCCCCTCTCCTCTCACTGGCACCCATCCAAAACATACTATTCACACTATCCACATCCATATCCAAAAACCCAATCAAAAAAACTAAATTCAAAAACCCAAAACCAAACTACCGAATAAAATAAATAAAAAAAACTAAAAACTAAACCGACCCAGCTACAGCATACAACAGACGATTAAAAAAGAAGTCTTTCTCTCTTCTCTCCTTTCCTCTTCTCTCCTTTCTTCACCCCACCTCACCACATTATCAATCTACCAATAATACAAATCTAACCCCTATAATCCCACCTAATCCCTCTTCCCATCCCCCCTTCCTCCACCACCTCCACTCCCACCCCCAACAAATCCCCATCCATTACCTACTTTTGCTCCTCCTCCACCTCCATTTGACCCCACAACCCCATACCCCAACGGCGTAGCACCCCCAAGACTCTTCCCACCCGAACCCGCACCTCCTAAACCCAGTTTCCCCCTTCCCCTCCCACTCACCCCTCTCCCCCAACCCCCCACCCAACTCCCCATAACCATTACTCCCACCGCAAACCCCCCCAGCACACCCCACCACCCCCTCCACCCATCACCATCACCATAACCCCCCTCACCAAATCTCCACCCACCTCTCCCATCACCCCCCGGCAACATCGTTCCCTGAAACCACCTCACACTAAACCTCAGTCCCAACTCATCCCCAATAATCAATTTTTTCATCCCCATTCCCCTCCCCATCCCCCTTCCCCCAGTACTATACCCCACGCCACAGCCCAAAACCCCCGAATCCCTCTTCTGCGTGCGATGTTTTGGCACACTATGCAATAGCACATTAAGATGGGACGCGATATGTAAATGTGACAATTGGAATGTGCCTGCTAGGGCAAAAGTAAGAGGGATGTATTCTTGTTTATAGTTTGGATAGCTGTTGATGTGATGAATGGTGGGTGCGGGACGGGAAGGAAGTCGACATGAGAGAGGAGCGTCGGAATGGATGTAAAATTCTAGGATGTGGAAGAAGGAATCGGTTATTATGGGGATTGTACAGTTGAGTTCTGTTGTTTTGAGAAATCTATTAGTTATTCATTCAATTTTCAAAGTATAAAAAAAATCAAGATTGAAGAAATAAAATAAAAACAAACCTTCTTCAATTCCATATTTTAATTCCAATGGTTTTCCAGTTTCGTTACATATCGGGAATGGTATGTATTTTAATGAACCATCATCCAATTGAATATGTTCTCCTGTATGACTGAAAGATAATAGTTAGCATTTATTCATAAACTTCATCTCTGCTTTATCAATCTTATTCCCCAAATATTGTAAACCCCCCTATTCATCTCTTTCCACAAATCCCCCTACATCTCATCCATAATCTCCGGCACACACACACGCAATTCGTATTCGTATTTGTACTCGTCTCGTCGTCGCATTCGCATCCATCTAGCATAGTATCTATCTCATTATCCTGCACATTCTCTTGCCCCATCTCACTCTTTCCACTTCCCTCTTCCCTCTTCCTTCATCCAGACCCCTCATCCTCCATCCTACTTAGCACCTCGATCCACCAATGCCACTCTCTCTCAGTGACCTAGTATACTGTATATCGCGCGCCGTAATATTCGTGTGTATATTCGTGTATGTGTGTGCCGGAGTCCCCTCACCCTCTCCCTTTCTCCTTCCTCCCCTCTCCCCTCCCCTCACCCCCAAAAAAGCCGCCCCAAAAACATAAAAAACCCCCAACTTACAAATCCCTCTCCAAACACTGAACCTCCATACCCGCCCCAAAATGATAACTAGGCAACGGCAACCTCTCTTCATCTTGATCTTTCCCCTCATACCCCTCGTACCTCATATCTTCCTCTCTTTCCCCTTTCTCCATCCCCTTTCCATTTCCTTTTCCATTCTCCATCTCTTTCCCATTCCCTCCTACCAACAATCCACCTTTATATTTATCTTTATCCCCATCCGCAACTGTATCCGCACCCTGCACCATCCCCATCCCCATCCCCATCCATATCATACAAAGCCAAAGTAACACCACAATTCTAAACGGCGTGCGAATCGTGCGCATCGTATCGTATCCGATATTCAAATTACGTATCGCCGGTGATTTCGACCCCTCAATCTCAATCTCAATCTCCTCAATTCCCCTAATCCCCTACTTTCCCTCGATGTTGAGAAACGGAGCTCGAGGTCGAGGTCGAGGTCGATGTATAATATAATAATGCAGACGCGCGTCTTCAATCCAATTCAATCCACCCCTCCCCAAATCTCCCACAGCTCAGATCCCCTAAACTTTCTTCTTCCTTCTGCGTATCCTCGCCCCTCTTTCTTTCTGTTTATCCTCTGCTTATGCTCTGGGAATTCTTGTTCTCGTCCTCGTCCTCGTCCTCGATTTATTGTTTTATGATCCCTCAATCTTTTTCTCCTCACAATCTCAATCTCAATCTCAATCTCTATCTCTATCTCTCAATCTTAGTATCCCAGTATGTATCTCAGCTAATTATCTAATTATCTCAAAATCATAAATGCCTCCAAGCCTCACCCAGCCTCACCCAGCCCAGCCTCACCTCGATAAAGTTCAAGCTAGCGGCCGCTGCTATCACCCACCCTAGGCATATCAAATTGGGATATTTGGATTGTGATTAAAATCTATACTCATTTATATTCATATCATCTAAAACCCCATCACTAATATATATATTTTAAACCACATTATAAATTTGATTAATAATTCAAAAAAAATATATAAAGATCTATATATCGGTACTTAGTAGAAATATCAAACTCAAAAAAGAGATTTTATTAATATATTTAAATATTATTAATATTAATAAAAAATACTATTTAATTATTATTTTATATTATATTCTATTCTATTCTCAGACTATTCTATTCTATTC